AAATGTGTTGTTTTTTTTTATTTTAGGGAAGAGTCTACCGGGTGTTTATGGTCTCACTACTAGATCGGACTCAAAGTGATCTGCCTGTTTACAGCCTCCCAAAAGCTGGGATTACAGACATGCGCCCCCATGGACAATCTCAAATGTTTTTAAAAATGTTTAGCAAGTGTTTCCCCTGACACTTGAACCAGATTATTTAAAAACACAAGTGAAATGAATTATGGGAAATGAGTTTAAATTCTTAAGGAAAATATAAGGTCAAGGTAAGAAAGTAAATTAGCTTGCAAAAGAAATTTGATGGACAGTCAAAGGTAAATTTCAGTGCCAGAAGCTGAGTAAAATTCAGGTTAACTCAGATAACATGTATTGTGTCTCTGATTTGTTCATATTCCAAGGCTTTAGAAAATACATTTGTCAGCCAGGCGCTGTGGCGCATACCTGTAATCCCAGCACTCTGGAAGCTGAGGCAGGAGGATCACTACGAGTTCAGGGCCAGCTCGGGCTATAGATCCAACTCAGGCTATAGATCCAGCTCAAAGAATCCCTGAACTGCACAGTGGAACCTTGTCTCAAAAAGATAAACAAGAATACATTTCTTATCTGTAAGACATTCACAGTTTGGGGGAAAAAAAAACTTGATTTGTATGTCAGAGTACTTATTTATACATCTGGTCTCACTGTTTCAAGCAGTTTACATTTAAACTAAAGAGGCCCTTTCTAATTCCTGGCTCAAATGTCATGCTAATACCATAGAAAAAACATTTAACCAAACTGTTATTTCCCTTGTGATTAAAACAAGTAACACTGGGGGCCAGTGAGATAGTGAAGCAGAAAAAAGTACCTGCTTAGGCAAGTGCAGGGACTGCAGTTCGATCCCTGGCACCACATGCCAGGCCTGCCCCAGCAACCAGCACCCCCCCAAGAGTGGGCTGAGCCAGCCAGAGTCTGGGTGTGGTGGCGCACGCCTGTAATCCCAGTGCTGGGGAGGCTGAAAGCAGGAGGATCACAAGTGCAAGCTGCACAGTGAGACCCTGCAACAACCTAATACATAAAAAAATAAAACAAGTAATTCTGAAGTCTAGATAGGAGAAAGGATTCCAGAGGCATGACAGCACGCACACTTTCATAGAGGAAGAAAAATTCCTGTTTTTTCAATGATTATACAACCCTCAAAGAAACTCAGGAACTTTGAGTATTAAGAAATCATGACTCCGAGGGCCAGTGAGATAGCTCAGCAGACTAAGCTCTTGCTTGGCCAAGCACAGGGGCTGGGGTTTGATCCCCAGCACCACAGGAAGTGCCCCCAGGTACACTGAGCCAGCCACGGAGATCGGGGTGTAGATTACACCTGTAATCCCAGCACTGGAGAGGATCCGACGAGTCTGAGCTGCGAGCTGTGTGTGTAGTGAGACCCTGTACCAAACACAGTAAAAATGAAAGAAAAAAACATCATGACTCTGGCTAAGCATCATTCTACAACTTACAATCCCAGCTACCTAGGATACTGAGGGTAGAGAATTCCAAATTGAAAGACAGCACAGACAATTTAGCAAGACCTTGTGTCAAACAGAAAGCAGGTGTGTCACTGAATGGTTGGACACACAAGCAAGGCTACTACTTCCATTCTCTATACAGCCCAGAGGGAAGGAGAGAGGAGAGGGGAAGGGAAGAGAGAAGGCAGAAAGCAGGGAGGGCAGAGGAACAAAGACTGGGTCATAGATTACATTCAGGTTCACAGAAGCATTTGTTGCTTAAGGCTCTTTCCTTCACAATGAAATGTTATTTTAAAAACAAATCTCAGAAACAACTTGGTGTATTAATACCCACCACAGCACCAAATAACATAAAGAACCCAAATAAACTAAGTTGTTAAAAAATGGTATTCTGCTTTATTTATATTTTGGCAGGCTTCATTCCAGGTTTTTTGTTTTTTTTTTTTTTGCGGAACCGGGGATTGAACTCAGGCCCTTGTGCTTGCCTGGGAAGCACTTATTCCACTGAGCCATCTCCCCGGCCCCAAGAATATATTTATTGAGAGAAAGAAAGCTCCTGTCTGAGAGAGGGACAGGAGGAGGGCCTGAGTGGGTTGTCCCCAGGAGGCTTCATTCTAGTTTAAGTTTGGCTTACTTTATGTTATTTTTTTGGAGACAGGGTTTCATTATACATGTCTAGCTAGCCTTGGAACTCACTTTGTGACCCAGGCTGGCCTCAAATGCACCGCAATCCTGCCTCAGCTTCCCAGGTGCTGAGACTCACAGGCATGAGCCACCATGACAGGCCTGATTGTTTCATAACTAATAGCCTACCTAGGTAGTTGGTTCCCAAGAGGCTGACCATGTTACAAAGATAACAAAAGCAATAATAGTAATAGCAATAATGATGATGACAAAATCCAAAGAAATCCCCCAGATCTGAAAATAAAACTGAGTTCAACAGTGATTCATCATTGGGCAAGAAACATCTACACACGACAGAAATGAATCAATTTCTAAAAACCTTACCTTTACGGAAACTTTAACTCTATTTTTATTCAAAAAAAAAATGAAACATCTAACAAAAAATACTCAGAAGGTCCAGTGCACATTAGTAATTTTCTTTTTTCCAAAGTCCAACTGGTCAACCTGCTGTAACAGCTCAGTCATGGTAAATGAATTTAAAGATTCAAATCTAAATTGAGGTGAGAAATTTTTTTTTTAAATTTATTTATTTTATTTATTTATGTGTGTGTGTGTGTGTGAGTGTGTGTGTGTGTGGGGGGCAGCTCAGCCCACCAGGGGGTGGGGCTGGCTGGCATGTGGTGCTGGGGGATTGAACCGCAGTCCCTGTGCTTTGCTAAGCTTGTTCTAAGTAGGTGCTTTAGACCACTGAGCCATCTCACCAGCCCCAAGGTGAGAAATTTCTAAGGAAGTAACTATATCTACAGATCAAGAACCAAAGACAAAAGGTTAAAAACCTCAATATTATGCCATATAAAATTAAATTACAGTAAGTTTAACACTGAATCACACATTTCTCAAATTTAAATATTACCACAAATCTTCTAGAAAAGCTTAATGTTTCAAGGCATTCAAACTTCCATTTTGTATATCCTGCTTTTAAAGTTCCAGCGTTACAGTGAATAGCCAGCTACCTCTCATAAATTTAGCACACTTCCATGTCCTTAGACACACTATTATACTGTGATACTTCAAGAGAAAGAGAATTTTCCAGAGACCAGGGAAGCAAATATAAGCTGCTGGAGATGCCAATGAACCTTCCAAGGAGATCCACGAAATCAAAACATTTTTCAAAGTAATCATTAACAGTCTTTATTTTCTAACATATTGACATTTGCGCTGGTTATGTAAAAAAAAAAAAAAACCAAAAAAAACCAAAAAAAACCCCAGGAGGTAAAAGTGAAAGTACCTTTGCACAAATCAGAACAATGGCATCATAATTAGTTACTAGTTAACTACATAATAATGTCAGTCACATACTAATGGGGGTTAACAATGCTCTTGATGAAACTTCGGAAAATTGATTTTATTAAACTCTATCATTGGGTAAATATCTTCTGTATACCATATGGGATAAAATAATTAGTCCTGGTTCTATAGCATGTCTATATCACGTGTAATGTCTCTTGTACTGTCTGAGCTGTGCACTGAACTAGCTACTTTTCATAGAAAGCTATTGTTAACTTTAAAGAATGACTGACAGACTACGGTTATTAAGGAGCCATTTCCTCTAAAATAAATGAAGTGAGCCTGTCACTTAAAGCAAACAACTGACAATATTTGTTGCCAATGATGAAATTTCATCTTTCAAATGAAAATTAGAATTTTGAAAAATCCCTTCCCACGAGCTTGACAAGCTTTCTAATACTTAAAAAGTTTTGATGAGATCAGTTATATTAACAGAAACATTTTAATCATTGCATAACAATGTGTTAACATTCAGAAGAACTGCATACTTCAGAGAACCAGTATCTTTCAAATGACCAAAACAATATTACAAAACCATCCATCAGAATAAGAGCCAATCAAGATGTAGGATACATACACCCAATGGAGTTTAAAGTAACGGGGAACAAGGAATCCTTTGATAAAGCTTCCGATGTCACATACCAACTAACCTTCAATAAACTATATTGTCAACTTTTGATACCCACCATTACCTGGAGCTATTTAAATACTCCCCAGCTATGTATCTGTTTTAGGCCAGACTTCTTATATACTTCAACCAATGTGCCATTTTGAAACAGATTGAATACAAAAGCAGATATGAGATTCTAAGTCCAACGATAAATGGTTTACAAAAATCAAAACCACTGTCACTGTTTACAATGAACTTTTTAGGACTGAAAATTATTTTTCATAAATCAAGGCTATTTATATTAACATTTAAGTTTCATAATGGTACGTAAAATTTCCCCATTTGAAACTTCTAACATTAAATATCATCAACAGATGCACCTACAAAAGCAAAAATTCTTTTAGGATTTTCAATTTTTAAGAGTACAAGTGGGCCCTGAGATCAGAATGTATGAGAACTGCTAGACTAGAGAATTCAGGTAAGTAAACACAAAACATGGGCTTTTCTTTTGTTAGGTCATATATGATTTCTGAAGGCCACTGACTCAACTGAAAAAGACAGCTTTATTTTCCTTAAGTATTAAAAAAAAAAAAATAGGTTTTTGTTTGTCTTTTGAGACAGAGTGACGTTTTGTAGTTCACACTGGCCTGGCACTGAGGCAGGCTGAGCCTCTGCTTCTGCCTCAAAGTGCTGGGATTACAGGGATGGCCAACACACAAACTTTAAAAAAGGGGTTTTGGAGTTGCTAAGTAGCTAATTGGTATTGTCCTATATTGTTTAGTTAATTCCTCTTTGCAGTTAGAATTCATCCATATGGTTTTGTATGGAGATGTTAACAAGCATGCTAAATACATAAAATGTTTTGAACACTCTAGATTTTTAACTTTGACATGCACACCAAATAGCAATTATCACGCTTTTTTAAAATCAATTCTTTATTTAGGTAACAAGTTGGTTATGTTCACTGCATTGTATGAAACATCACAATATCATACTGGAAAGGTACTATCAGTACAGGGTGGGATCCGAGTGGACAACAGGAACAATAAACCATTTCTGCATTCTTCATTCCCTATCTTTTAACAAAGGCCCAAACCCAGTCAAGGGACAAGTAGGTGGTAAAAGCATCATGTAAAGCATTTTAACTTACAAAGCTAAAATCTAAAGAATAAATAAAATGTATTGTGGCAGTAATTCCTTTGAGACCAAAAAAATCAGATATACAACAAATCAAGTGATCAGGACAGCTGTCTGTATCCAAACACGCGGCTCTCCAGAAAGTCTCAGGAACGTGTTACAGCAAAGACCGCGAATTCCATTTCACACAGGACCAGATGGTGACTCATCTGAACTACACACAGAGGCGATTACAACGTACTGAAACACAATTTAAACATCTACGAAATGTTTACAAAAGCATCCACAACATGTAAACCATGTATAAATGGATACATTCATGACTTCTACCCCAGTATCTGCTTTTAGATAAATACTTTACTCTTCATGTTCAGCATTAGTTGGATTTAATACATGCAAAACTTAGAAGAATTTAAGAATTCAAGGTTACTGTAAAAATAGTTAAACTAAATAATCTTCAAGTACCTTATGTCACAACCAGTCTGTACCGTGCCCAATGTTATAAAATGAAAGGTTACTGAACCCATGAAAATATCTCTGTAATATTTCCTTAGATCTAAAATAGATAATTTTAAAAGTATTTATAGTAATTTCAATGTGATATTTTCAGTTTTTAAAATAACGTAGTTAAAAATTATACCAAATTACAGAAACTTGTATCTTAAAAGCTGAAAAAATTAAAAGTATAGAAACCCACATGTAAAACCAAAAAAATCACAATTTACATTATAAAGGCAAATCTCATTTAAAAGAATTTGCAGCAATGAGATGTCAAAGCAAACTATAAATAGGCATAAATTAATCCATTTGGTTTCAAAAGATTTTTCTAGTAAAAATTGAAAGATGCATGCATAAAATTTGTAAAGGTCTATAATATTATTGCCAAATACACTTTGTCTTGAAGCAAGGCAACAATACAATTTGGACATCATCAGAGAACCCAGTTCAGTAACACAGGTTAAATTGGAAAAAAATTAAATAACAATAAATACATATCCTATAGTAAATTGCTCAAATGAAATTTCAAGCTACAGAACTGTAATTGGCTTCCAACTCTGTGAATCAAAAAAGGAACATCTCATACAATTCTTTACTCTTACATGCTTATATGTTGTGTGCTCTGTTTTTAAAAAGCCATAATGTATCTTCAGAGCTAACTATATTCCCATGCACCTCAGGCACATTTGTTATTTGTGGTAAAATAATTCCATTGGTTTCTAGGGCCAAAAGTTCAAATACAGATGTAACCGTTATGCCTGAGGCTGGCAAAAAATACTGTGTAGTACAGGCAGTGCTCCAAGTGGCAATTATCAGAAAACACAAATTGGAACAAATGATGGGAAATGCTAATGATTTTCTGCTCATATCACAAACGCTGGGAATCCACAAGAATATTTTCCCCTTGTATTGAAGAAAATTGTGATTAAAAGTTTTTTCCCCCAATTTTCAGAATCAAAAGCATTTTAGAAGGTTTATAAGGCTACCATGAGTCTTCTAGATCTCCAGCACCCTACAGGAAGAGAAAAGGAAGAATATTATTATTATTTACCTATACTGCTTCCAGGTTGGACTGAATTTCAATAGAAAACAAAATTAGGTGAACAAATTACCTGTCTTTGTCTGAAAAGGTACTTTTACAAAAAGGTGTGTGTATTGTACATTGTGTGATGTAGACAGATAACTGGTTGGGGTTTTTCTCCCTTCTCCACCAAACACCTTCCTCTTTCTCAAAACACTTATAAATATTTTGTCATTGGAAAAATAGACCAAGACATCAGCTACACCTCAAGATTCCAAAGTGTCAAATTATGGCAACTTAAGCAACTTTAAATAAGTGATATACAAATAACAAGAGGAAAAGTTAATGTACAGTTCAAAAAACTTGCTTTATAAAAGTTCCTCCATGACTAATATCCATCTATAATTTAAAAACATTTTCAAAAAAGAAAACATCTATTTTTAAAATCAGCCCATAATTCTTGCATTTATTAATACAAAAATCGACAATGTCGCCATCTTCAAAATGCGCATGTGATAATTTTCTCACATTTCCATGTGCCCACACTGTCCGTAGGTGAATATTTTGTTTCAAAGAGGGGATTAAAAAACGGAATGGACTTTGAGTAAGACAGATTTTATATTCAATTTTTTCCCTTTTTGTTAATGAAAAAACTTAAGTCAAAAGTTTGCTAAATTTAATAAATAAAATGAATTTCTAATGAGTTTTCCAATACCCCAAATCTGGTTAAAAAAATTAAAGAATAAGTACAACATGCATAGATTATTCCATATCACATGCTTTATTTGGACTTATAATTTCATTCTAAACACTTGACATACATTTTGATATGTATAGTTAGGCTACACAGAATATACAAACCAAAGCTATAATAATATACAGATTTTTCAAAAATTATGTTTCATAAAGAATACAGAGAAAGGAAAAATAACCACACATCCAGCATCTCACTTCTAAAAATAAAACTACAGATATAAAATAGAAACAAATTAAACAACACCGAAATTATCAACCTTGAAAGAAAAATTACACGCCAGCATCAGCCATTCTTTGAGGGGCTAAAGTTATTAAAGAGAACACAAATTTATTACAAAGCTAATGATGAGTGTACTGATATATAAAATAAGCAGTATAATTCTACATTACAAGTTTTTCCACAATCTCTTTAAGCAGTAATCTTTAATCATATCTAATATAAATTTACCGACTGTAATAATTGGCAACCTAGTATCTGGCATACAGTGTGAAATGACATATAATTTCATTAAATCCAAAGTACTATAAATAGTTAATTTTAAAACTATCTCATAAAGGTGTATGCAAAGGCCTTTTTAAAAAACAAGGCTATATGAATATAATAAAACTAGTTTTTCCAAGATTCAAATAACAAAATGGTTATATAAATACACACATTATACTTCCTAAATAAACTGAATCAAAGATCACAAAAATATTGCCCCAAAAAGTCATATTTTTTCACCACTCAGCTGTGTCCCTGCATCTTCATTAGAGCTGTCTAATTCAGCAAGCCCACTTGCTGATTCAGTATGGCTCTCCTGCAATGTCGCTGGGTCTCCAGCATCACTGTCCGAGGAAGCGGCTGCGGCAGCTGGGTCAGCAGGGCTCTCTTCTCCCTCTACTTTAGCTAGCCTGTAACTAGTCAGCATCTCCTCCAGGAGTTGTCGGTAGTTTCCCCTATGATTAATTCTCATTTGCCTGAGAGCTTCCACCAATTTTCCCTGTGATCCACTTTCCTCTGCTTCATCGGAGGCCTTTTTTTAAGATTCAAGACCCCAGTGTCAGTAGACAAACTAGGATATCACATGTATTTCATAACATATCACACAAAATTCTCATTTCTCTACCATGAGTAATGTAATCTAAGCATGAAAACATTTTATCAAGTATCAATTCTTACCTGTGTAAATAAAAACTAGTAATAATACCTTGAAAGTTATTCTTAACAAATTATCATTAACTAGTTTTATTCCAACTGCTATTTAAAATGTAATTTGAAATTTACTCTGCTTTTATAATTCAACAGCAACACAAGCATTTCCTAAAAGTAACTTACTTTTTAAAAATTCACTGGCTATAATGAAAAGGAAATTAGACTCTGAAGCAAGAAAAAGAATTAAGAAAAACAGGCCATAAAAACATTAGTTTCTTTTTTCTCAATGCTAAGTAGAAAAGAAGATGCAAACTGTGAAACTCTATCAATTAAACTATATTTTGGGAAGAATTAGGTCCCTTGGTGGGCAACAGTTTTATTTACTTTTGCCAGGTTATTTTAACTGCTGTAAGATATAAAGATGAATAGCAAACTGCTCAATTCTTTTCTTTTATTAAATTCTAGAAAACTTACAGGTTTCTACAATAGCTACTTCATCTTGTCAGTAGAACAAGTTCTAATCATCCAAGTAGATTATAATTAAGCTGATAAACTAAAATCAAGACAACTGCATTATATGCCTCCTGAGTGAGGCCTTATGAAATATTACCATAATCCTACATTTATACCAAAAAGTGTTATAAAGAATCTAATAAGGCCAACTTCTCATGTACAGGAAAACAGCAAATAGAAGGTCAAATTAAAGAATAGCATAAGAAAACAATTATACCAATTCAGAAAGCAGACACTCCTATAAAAACTAGGCTAAGATTCCTCAAAGTATAATGACAAAAAGTGTGTGACTAAAATCTGTTTTATGTGCTTCACTACTGGTTTAACCTGACTAAATCATGTTCTAAAACAACTCTTATAAAACCATTCTAGGCTTAACTATCTGGACTCAGTATTACATGATATTACAAGTTATTGTTAAATTTCATAGTGACAATAACAGCATTATGGCTATGCAAAAAAAATCCTCATTCTTAAAAGCTGCAAGCTGAAATGTTTACAGTGAACTATTATGGTGTTTATAATTTGCTATCAGTTTAGCCCAAAGATAAGTGTTTATCTGTACACACATAAAAACAAAAAACCATAGAAAAATGTTAATTACTGAGTCTAAGAAGAAGGTATATGGGTGTTCCTATTAGTTTTGCAAATTTTATTATATAAATAATAAAGTATGTTTTCTTAATGCTTATTTTTACCCCTACAATAGAAAGAGAGAGAGAGAGAGAGAGAGAGAGAGAGAGAGAGAGAGAGAGAGGATCCTTAAAGTTTCTTATTTGAATGTATTCAGGAAAGGTAAAGGTGGATCAATGAGGTAAGTGTGCCCTGCTCACAAACCTTCATCAGGACTCCCAAAAGGACATTCTACCTTAGAAGGGTCTAGAATACCTACTTGGATCCCCAGACAAGCAAAAATCGCACATATCATTAAACTGTAGGATATTAAAACAGTATCTGCTTCAAGTGAGCAGGTGGCTTACACACAGAAGTGACTGTTACCCCAGCTTCACGTCACAGACACTTACGAAGCTTTTCAAATGACACGGAGCTTTTCAAATGACACAGGTGTCAAAGCTCCAGCCCAAGAACCAAAGCACAGGCTGTCTTTTGCAGCCTCCAGATCATTCTGACACAGCTATGGTTAAGAATTTCATACAGGCCACACTCTAATAGAGTTACACTTACTCATAAGTCCGGATCAAAAGCTATATTTGTATTTGGGTCCATTTTGGAGGGTTCAAGAAATAAAGCATCTATCTCTTTCTGTGAACTGCTATAGGACCAGTGGTTAGGGAAATTTTAAGTACCTTTCAACTATTCGTAAGTCTCTATAAACTCTGCTTTAGGGTTTTTTTTATTTTTTGGTACCGAACTCAGGACCTTGGATGTGCCAGGCAGCAGTGGTTAGGGAAATTTTAAATTTTATTAAAAAATACACTACACACAAAACTCAAGAATAGAAGAATTTACAAAAAAGTCACACTGGACTGAAAACAAATTTTAGCTCACCACTACATTTAAGTAATTTTAACTTTATGACAAATTACATTTTCCCATTATGCTAGACATATGATGGGTGGGACAAAATACCTTCCCCAGACGTATGTTAGATTTCTTTTTTAAAAAAATTTTATGTACTTGGTAGAGGGTCTCAATACACAGCTCAAACTCATAGTGATTGTTCTGTTTTCAGCCTCCCCAGTGCTGGGATTACAGGTGTGAGCCACCATGTTATACCTGGATTCAGCGGCTGGCTCAGTGTGCCTGGGGGAGAGGCCAGTGTGGCATGTGGTGCAGAGGATCAAACCCCAGTTCCTACACTTACCTACGCAGGTGCTAAGTCCGCTGAGCTATCTCGCCAGCCCTACGTTAGATTTTTTCAAAATACTATTACATAATTCTTTCATGGGCTTTTGGTAGTATCAGATATATGTTCTTTCACATTCTTTTTACCTGAATTTGTACGGTTCACACAGTACATCTATTTTTATACATCTATTAGAGCATTTAACTCTACCTTTCAACTATTCATAAGTCTCTGTAAACTTTGGTTTTGGGTTTTTTATTTTTTGGTACCGAACTCAGGACCTTGCACTTGCCAGGCAGGCAGGCACTTAAGCCACTGAGCAATCTCCACAGAACTAAACTTCAGTTTTTTTGAGACAAGGTTAATAAACTGTACCCCAGGCTGGCCTCAAACTCATAGCAATCTTCCTGCCTCAGCATTCCAAGTGCTGAGATCACAGGTGTGTGCTAATGCACTCGGCTGTAAAAGTCTTAAAGGTAATTTCACATTCCTTTCTATATCCTCCTACCACATGGGTCAGAAAAATTAACACTTATGTACATGTTCTTTTAATTCTCATAGGTCCCCTATGAAATAACACTAAAAAGTATCATTTTTACCAGAAAGGAAACTAACGCTCAGAGATTTGTCACTTATTGTTAATGTGACAGAATTCACAGATTTGTGCGCAGGTGTACTTAACCTCAAAGTCCATCTCAATGTTTCCCTGAATGTATTATGCTAATGGTTTTTGCAGAAGTGCCTCACATACCTAACATGCTTACTAAGGAAATACTGATG